AAAATTGAGACACTGTATAAAAGGCTATAAAATACCTTTTCCCATGAAACTTGTCGTGCTTCTCCGCCATACTTGTTACCAGGCCTTTCAATGTCAACCGCGCAAACATTCAAGATGACGGATGTCAAAATTTCCCGACTCTGGGAATTGATGCATGGTCAAATTCCCCTCGCTGGGGCTTCATAGTGTGGTCAAAGTCCCCTGGGTCGCCCGCACCACCCCACCCCCCTCAGGGGGAAAACAATGATAGGTGCATTATGGCTCCACACTTTATTAGGCCGGAAATTAAAATACTTTATGTTTGGCAGCCGGACACTGTTTTGAAAAAACTAAATGTCCGGCAGTATAGTGACTATATAGTAGTTAAATATAAAAACTTTTGTTTGCGCTAGCAAAACCGAGCTTGCCTGCGATGCTGGGTGCCAAAAGTGAAACGCAGTCGAGGGTCGGGATGTGACTTAGCAGTTAGCATTGTTTTTTCTTAAAATGTTTTGAACTTTTTTCCGGCTTTTCTAACTCTCAAAAGGTTAGGGCGGTTCGGAGAAGGGGTTGGGATCGGTTTATCTCATAAAAATTTAACTTTAACTGCAAGTATATAGACAGTCACTATACTGCCGGCCATTGTTTTTTCAAAACATCGGTCCGGCTGCCGGACATATAGTCACTTCGAATTAAAAAAACCAATTCGCGTTTTACGCAGACAAGTAAAATAACACATATCACTACACACATACCAAGATAGCACGCAATGCTATAAATGTGGCAAAAATATAAGGCCACATAAAATAAATTCCTTGATTCTCATCACCGCCCGACTGTATTTTAAGAGCCGCGTGAAATTTTTTTATATTTTGTTATACAATATAAATGAACCGCCCGACAAAATATTTCAAGACAGTTAAGTTTTTTATATTAAAAATTGGGTTTTTAGTGCCATTTCAAACTGCCAATTTCAAACAAATAGAACCTTGAAAGAAATTTCATTGCATTTTAACGGAACTTCGCATTCAGTTGAAGGGTTCAGTCATTGTTCGTGGAGAAATATGTTCATTTTGGTTTGTGACACTTCACTTTGGATTTCACAGAAATATTAAATTTATTGATGATAAATATAAAATATAAACCTCCCGGCTCTTCGACATTTTCAAAGTCTAGTGACGAGAATCAAGGAATTTATTTTATGTGGCCTAAAGCAAGTTTTTAAAAATTTAGTAAATTAAAATCATTGACAGTAGTTTACACTTCAAACTTTTGGATAAAATACGTTTGTAAAGACAGACTAAATTAGCTTTTAAGTATTTTCATCGTATATATATACCATTATGACAAATAAGAAAATCAGATTTATTTCTGGCTTGAATATTTATTTAGTAGGCATTTCTATTCCAGCAAATTTCTGTTAAAACGTGATAAACATATATAAGCACCCCACACGGCACACTTCTGAGTTGTGTAAAAGAATTTTGATAGCTAGTGTTGGGGTTAGATTGTGATGTTTCTACCCCCTTAATTTAAACGGCAAGCAAAATGGCGAATTTTAGTTCCTGTCAACTATGTTTACAAGAATGATTCTAGCTCAAGTGGGAAAACATGAAATTTGGCAAGGCAATAGAGTAAAGAATAAGCTTTCATTTTGTGTATAATTGAGCACAACTAGATCCATAACAGACAAGTTAAAAGAGTAAAAACTAAAAAACTTCATACATATAGGCTCCTAGCTAATTTCTGAAAAATGTTTCTTTTGTAATCAAGACATTGAATATTTAAAAGCTTGGAATACTATAAACTTTAATATTTCAATCATTTCCTTTTTATGATTTTTGTTTTACCAAATACTTGAAAAGCCAGGATTCTTATAACGAATGGGGTTGTATTTAATACCAAAATTATTATTAAGATTATTTCATTAAAGGGCCGAAAACGTCGGGCTGTGGATCGACATTGGTTGATAAAATCGTGACTAAACGTTTATCTTGCCAAACAAACTAAGTTTTCATTTTGTCGAGTTCGCATTTCTCCGCGCTTAATTTTATTTTTTCAAATCAGCAGGAAATTATTTCCTGTTTAGTTTCAGAATCGGCTAACATCCAAATTTTGATACCAAATTTATTCCGGTTTTTAGGCATATATTACTTGAAAGATAAACGATCATTAAATTTAATCAAACCATCAATCGAAATATTTTTTTCGTCCAGGCACATAAACATTTTGAAAAGCCTTTTCGAGTTTTGAAATTAAGATTTAAGGGGCCGAATTTTTGTAAGTTTATCGGTTGGATTTTCTTGCCGCGATCTCTCGTTTCAAAGGAATTGTTTTGAAACTAAATCTCGAAGCGTTTCAAAGGAATTGTTTTGAAACCGGCATTGCCTAGAAACAAATTTGAATCCCAGTATAACTGAATTTTTGGTAGTTTGTTTATTCCCATCAAAATATTCAAATGCCAAAAAATCATAGCGGTCGGTTGTAAAATTGTGATCGTTGTATTTTGAAGGCGGGCGTACGAAATTGTAGCATGCACAACATGATCGAAAAACGCATCGCCAACAAAATATGATCCTGTTCTCCAGATATATATGAACATATAAAAAGTTCAACGGGGAAAGACGTCACTAAAAATTGTTCCAACAAAAACATGCAAAATTCAGAATCGAGCTTCGCTCAAGGCAATAGTGAATAGAGTTAGCCTTTTGCGTGGCATATCAACGAACGACAAAGGCAAACTATATAATATGGGCCGATTCGCTAGAATCGTTACAGCTGTTTGTCGAAGATGTGTTGAATATTGCTAACGGCATTTGGACTGGTGTCTTGGCGGCGAGGCGAAGCAGTTTAAGACTGATGAAAACTTAGACATTCGCTGGTATCCTACGACACAATCACTGTGAATGGAAAACTAGGGAACGAAATCAAAGAAAAGCTTCATTCGCTAGCTTCTACAATGTCGATGTGTCCCAAAAAACCAAAACCGGCTATTGAAATAACGTATTGAAGTAACGTATAGACGACTCAAAGCTTTACAAATCATTCTGCATCTACGACTTGGAACAGACAACTATCAATTAGAGGCAGACCTACAAATAGCAGCCAAGTGGTGTTTGGAGCACCAATTACTGATCAATCCAGAAAAAACTAAATTCCTTGTAGTCTGTTCAAGACCCATGCTTCAGAACGTAGGCCTACCTACAGAAATATCGCTAACATTTTTAGGAAAGACTATAAGACCTGTTTTATTAGCTAAGGATTTTGGAATCAATTTGGATTCGTACCTATCCTACGACGACCACATCTAAACTCGTTTCGTCGTGTATGAGAAAACTATGTCAAATAAATCGCGTGAAGGATAGTTTCGATAATGAAACATTAAAATTGGTCATTGAGACACTTGTGATTAACAAGCTTCTGTACTGCTCTATGGTGTGGTCCAACACGTCATATATAACAATATCAATAAACTTCAATCAGTGCAGAACTTCGGGTGCAGAGTTATATCAGGGGTAGGAAAGTTCGATCACATAACTCCGACGTTGCGCGAACTAAATTGGTTGCCAGTGGAAAAGTTATTATTGGAAAGGGATACTGTAATGGCTTACAAGTGTTTTAATGGACTTGCACCTGACTACCTAGTAGATAAATTTATAAAGCGTTCCGACATACCGGCATGATCGATTGACAAGAAATCATGACCTCTTGGGCATCCCTCTGTATAAATCTGCTGCAGGTCAAAGAACATTTAATTACCGGGGTGTTAAAATATGGAATGACTTGGATGATAAACTAAAAAATATTACATCAATAACAATTTTTAAGAAAGAACTTAGGGAGATTTAACTAAGAGAATCCTATTAAATACATTTAATATTTCATACTCTTTGTACATATTTTAACTAATTTTAAACAAGTATATGTAACATAAGGTAGTTTTAGAAGTAATTTATAGTAATTTTAATATGTAATTACTGTAGTGTTGAAAAGCCCTTAGGGGAACACGCAATAAAGTATCTATCTATCTATCTATCTATTGTTAGAATTTGAATGCCTCGGCACTCTGCTGAACCCACAAGTGATCAAAGCTTGACATGAGTAAATTTTATGCATAAAGAATCTGTTTAACTTTGAATTCCCAAGAGCAAAAAATCGTGCGCTTTACAAAGAGTTTTAATTTCTTAATAAGTCAATATTTAATATATGCACCCTTGACAATATTTTACGCATCTTTGCGTTCAGCTCAATGCTAGGGCATTCGAATTTTAGCAATACGTTATTACAATGGTTTTGGACTTTTGGTTGTTTTTGGACACCCTATACTGTACAGGGTGTCTCAAAAAAACCCAAAATCATTGAAATAACGTATTGTTCGAATTTCAATGCCGTAACACAAAGGATTTTGACAGGGTGATTAATTTGTTTTAAAAATTAAAATATCTTTGTAAAGTGAACGTTTGTTTGCTCATGGGAATTTAAAAATGCTTCGTAAATTGTAATATGCGTAATATGCATTCGTGGGTTTAGTACTTTATGCCTGACATAACAAGTTTACGCTGAGTATTACCATTCATTATAGCAGTTATGTCAATCTTTTATGCACTCGTGGGATTAACTTAGTGCTAGGGCATTGAATATCGAACAATACGTCAATTTCAATGATTTTGGGTTTTTTTGAGACACCCTGTATATCAAAACAACTGCTGGTAAATACCGAAAATAATGAAGAAGCTCCAGACCATAACGACGAGAATACATTCAAATCGTTCTTTTGTTAAAGACGACCAGCACTTTACCTAGAGTCACTTCAAAAGCAGTTAAAAACTCACCAAAGAAATAGACGCAAACTCAGCCGCTGTTAAACTATTTACTGAACATACGAACTACCATAGAGAACAACAAGCTATGGTAAACGAACCAGTTGAGAAACCTAAACGACAACCTTCAAGAAAGAGTAAAAATTCAGAAGATGAAAGAGACATTTTAACTATATACAGCAATGCGATTACTATTTGAAGAATCGTATCCCAAAGGAAATCCACCAAGCACAAGTCAGAGAACAAAACAGACCATAACCGAGCAGCTACTGATCACGAAACACAAACAGTCAATTGTAGCAAAAAGCAACCTATCAAGCGTACGACTAAAGAACAAGACGAGGCCTGTGAAACTCAACGTCGCGATAAACAATCACGGACGCAGATTGATCATCGGAAACTTGTAAACGTGGCCATTCCAGGAGTGATTCTATGCGTGAATTCTGCACAGTTGCGTAAAAGCACCAAAGCTAACACCCAGATAAACACATTCCCAGGCGCTAAAGTAGATGATATGAAATTCTATGTCAAACCAACCTTGACCCGTGCTCCTGATCATTTAATCTTACACAATGGCACAAAACTGAAATGACCTAAACATAGCTCACCTCAGAAAATATCAAGTTCTATATCCACACTTGGGCAAAAAATTAAAAAAGAGCTTCCTACGACGAATCTTGTAATATCAGAAGTGATAACAAGAAATGATGATCCTAACTTAAACACGAAAATCGAAGAACTTAACACAAAGTTATCTCAGGTATGTTCAAATAATAACTGGAAACTCATTACGCATAAGAACATATCTACACTCCTGCATTTTAACCCACATATGGCCTTCATTTAAATAGACAAGGAACTGCAAAGTTGGCCAACATCTTTAAATATTTCTTAAATAATTGTAATTGACTGCCTGTACTTCGCATCAATAATGCTCCAATTCAAGACCTGAAAACAAATGTTAATAATGCACCTGACTTTGTAAACATATATTGGCGCCCGAATATAATAAATATAGCAGACTATATATTCAATGAATGTATCACGAGATGACTCCTGCGCAGAATCACCGCATAGCCAAGATAACCCCTACACGAAACTGAAAGGTTTTTTTATAGCCGGACAACTAAATATTGCTAGTTTAGTAAAAGATATCGAAGAATTCCGAATTTTCATTACCAAAACACCTTTCGATATACAGGGTGAGTCAAATTAGCCGCGAAGGTATCAGTTTTTTTTACTCACCCTATATTATGCATTAATGAGACGAGGCTAGACAATACAATCAAAAGCTCGGAACTTGAAATTCAAGGCTACGTGTTAGACACGATAGAAAGAGAAACGGAGGGGGAGTAGCAATCTACGTACGTAATGTTATACCATTTTCCGAAAGAAAATCTCTAATCCCAGAAAACGTTGAGACAATCTGTCTTATGCTTCAGTCATTTGAAACCACGACCCCCCTACCCCCGGGACATAGCGCCGCAGTAGCGTGCTGGCAGGGGGGGCCGGGGGGCCACGGCCCCCCAGCTGACAATTCTTGGGGGGCGCAAAAATGAAAATGGGGCGCCGAATTTTGAAAGTGGGTGGGAAAAAACGCATTCTCGAAAAAATATGGTTACTTCTACCAAGAAAAGACGTGTTTATAGGCTACAGTATAAAACAGACTAAGCGCATAGGCGACATATATTAAATTACAGACTATTTTGCCTAACCGTATTTGCTACCTCACAGCTCACACGAAATCGTTCATGTAGAAACATGATCAGTGATCACAGGCAATGTCTCATCACTGGAATATTGGTCAGGTTTCGATCGAAGCGATCAGGGATTTATGCCCTTTTTTGCTGGTATTATGCCCTTATATTATGCCCTTTATTATGCTTCACGAATTACGAGAGCGGCGCAAATTAGATAGTTGAAGTTATGATAACTGATGTAAAGTTGTGTACGCAATTTAGTTGTTTGCACAAGAAGCATGAGTAATGTAAGTAATGAAATAATGCTGAAACATGCCCTTTTGGCAGCCAGGCATGGAAAACTTAAAATGCATATGCGTGGGGTGCGTGTGTTATTGTATTAAAGAGCTGTAAGTTGTAAATGTGCTCAGAACAGTAGATCAGTAGAGAACAGAATTGGGATTAGATTAATCGCTGGAAGTTGTTAGCATTGCATAATTTAAGTACTACTACTAAATTCGACACGTTATAATGCCGTTTCCTGACCATCAGATTTCTGTCAAATCTTCCCCCAAAGTCCAGGAAATGGCATTTCAGAGACTCGAAATTCAAAAATTTTCCTGGGGGGCATGCCCCCGGACCCCCCTAGACAAACCTCGCACCTGCGGCACTCGGCTTGTGTCTTCGGCCCTCGTTTATCAAGTGTAACATTATAGGGGCGCATATTGGTTGACAGCCCACTGGCCCCTCCAGAAAAATAGTACCCAGCACGCCACTGATTCGTCATCAAAATGCTGACGCCATGGTCCTAGCCAGTGCCACAGAATAAGGCACACAGAAGGTCGACTCGAGTAACCGCTGCCACGCCATGATTCATCATCAAAATGCTGACGCCATGGTCCTAGCCAGTGCGCGTTTGAGAGGCAT